AGCCCTGAGAACAGTACCTTGTTGGGGAAGGTGCAATCCTGGAAAACAAGAGAGGAATTTTTAAAAACTCAAATTCCTTCTAGAAGGAAGCTGTGTGAGCCTGTGAGCAGCTCATGTGTTGCTCATCTCTGCCCAGTCTCTGCTTCCCTCCTGGCTGACCTCACAGCAGGAATCTGCACGTTGTACATTTATACGTTAGCTCTTCACCCCATGCTTTAAGAACCAAGAGTGAGTGACAAAGATCTACTTGGGAAGGGGTAGCTGCGGTCTTTGTAAGGCATATGCTATTTCCTTGCCAATGTTCCATCAGTTGCACTTTCGGGTTAGTCTTTATATGCAGATTTTCATGCAAACCTCTATTCTCTGAGGCCCTTCCCCCTCCACTTACTTCTCTGGCACCCCCTTTCCTAATCTTCCTCTCCCCACCAGGTCGTTTAAGTTTCTGCCCCTTTGCTTCCAGCTGTCTATCTTGCCCACATTATCCCCTTCCTTGAGGTATGCATCTGGGGATACAGAAATTTTAAAAATGGAGTTTCAAAAGAGAAGCAAGCACCTGTGGGCTTTTGGAATACAAAATAAGCAACTCAAGTGCAGCCCAGCCCACCTCCTTGCACCCTTGACCTTACACACAGAAAGTGGCATGGAGTAAAGGCATTGCACAAGCACAAGGAAAACTGGTGCCATACTGCACAACTCCACTCAGTAGCCTCTAGCTACTGTCCCTCTATACATATTAGTACCCCAGACCCGGGGGTTGTTTCTCACCCTTGAGATAGCCCACATTCTCCCTAGAAAATGCCTCCATTTAAATTCATTTCTACAAGGTTTGCAAGAGCCTCACTCATCCTGGATTGAGGTCCCCTCTTGGAAACTCCCTGGACTCCCTCCAGTGACACTTATGCAATGTAGTTCACCCTTCTTGAAATTTGCTCCCAACTGAGTGAGTCAGCAAATACAAATCAACTCCGGGCTAAGGTTTTGAGGTTCTAGGTTTACTTTCGTACACATTATCTAGATTCCAGTACTGGGAAGTGTCTAAGAAAACCAGAGCTGGACAGAAAAGAGGCAGCAGAGACAGATTTTATTCAGGAGCCATTGAAAAGAGGGAAATGACCTGAGTATAGAACTTGGTTCCATTCCAAATGTGAGAAGGAAAAGTAGGAATTTATGGCTGGGGGTGGTCAATGAATGGAAAGTTACTAAGAGGGGTAGTTTTTCCTAAAATGACCGGACAGTCCAGTTGCTGAAGGCAACCTAGGTAATCAATATGCCCTGGGTGATGGAGGGGGAATGAGGGATTTGATGGATATTGAAGGTGACCTAATATTCAGAGTGGGGATTCTGGCTAACTTCACTTGACAGGAGTGTTTCTCCAACTGGAAAATACCATGGCAAACACACAGAGGTAGCGGCCCAATTGAGAAGCAGGTTCCGTGGAACCTGTCTAGAGTTTGGTCAAGGCAAGAAACTAACCTAGATGGAGAGAGGTCAATGAGCCAGAATTCCACACCCAACAGATTTGCCTTGGAGTTGGACCAGGTGACAGATGTGTTTAAAAGAACAAATAAGATAGTTTCAAGAATAGATAGGAGAGAGAGAGAGAGAGAGAGAGAGAGAGAGAGAGACGGGGGGGGGGGAGGGAATGACACGATAGGTAGAGATGAGACTACTTGAGTTGGGTGGTCCTTGCAGGAGCAGACACCCGAGCAGGACAGGACTGGCCAGGAGCACCCAAGGGAAGAAGAAGCAAGTGAAGCAAGTGTGAAAGGTCTCAGATGGGAGTAAGCCTGACCTGCTGCTGGCAGAAAGGAGGGCCATGTGGCTGATCCTCAGAGGACAAGAAGACGAGCAGAGGAGGGGCAGCTGGACAAGCTGAGCCCTGTCAGTATCAGGAACAAGTAAGGAGGCAAAAAAAAAAAAAGTAAAAGTGAAGCAGTGTCAATTGCACGTCAGGGGATATTACAGAAAACCTGCCGCACAGCTGTTTGTCCCAATAAGCACTTCATTAACTCCTTAAGGTCACAGGGAGTGATTGGAAAAGGCATGGACATGGGGCAGTTCTTTTCCTTCTTTCTACAAGTGTCCTTTAAAATAAAGACTGCTGCAGGCTGGATCATATAACCTGTGCCTGGTACTTGACACAGAGTTGGTGTTTAAAATGTTACTATCTGTTGTGCAAAGCCCTGCAGGGCAATGTCCAGATGCACTTCCCGGAGCCCTGGCCCTTGAACACCTCCAGACTCCTAAAGCTCAATTCCACATTTCTTTCTGACCCGTGGTGACGTTTCTAAAGAACCACTGTCCACTTGGAACCATGGTACAGGCTCCAGGTTGTCCTATTTAACCATCCCCTGCCCATCTTCATGAGGAACACACCATGTGTTACTCTGTTCCATCAGGTTTGTATGGAATCCTGAAGGCTCCAGTTTGGCGGCCCTGAACACAGGCAGTTCACACCTGTACAGCAGCCCTCCAACTGGTGAGTGAAGTCCGACAATTTGCCCGGCTTGGCCTTCACTTTGGTGGCTCAAGAAGGCCATGTCACTGATGTGAATCTGCAATCTGTGTATGGGGTGAAGGTGGGAGTCCATAACCCACTAGAATCAAAGTGTGGAATATGATATGTCAAGAAATTTGTAATGTTTTGAACAACCCACAATAAAAAATTAAAAAAAAAAAAAAAAAAAAAAAGATTAAAGAAAATTGGCCAGGTGCACTAATGCATGAAAAAAAAAAAAAAAAAAAAAAAAAGAAGGCCATGTCAGGCCTGTGGAAGGGAAGTCTTCTTCCTGTGCCTCTCATAGCGTAGCCAGGTGTTCAGCAGTCCCCCTTGACCCTGGCAAGAACTCACAGCCCAGGCACCTCGTCTCTGTTCCCAGTGACCATTCTGCTAGAGAGTTGCTTAAGCAAAATGTAGGACCCCTCCCAGCCACTGTCAGGCACTTGTGTCTGCCTGCTTCTTCCTTGTGCACATCTGACACACAACTAGATCTCTCTGGGAAGATTTCAAATCACCATGTAAATATTTTCTGCATGACATAGTAAGACCCATTTATTCACCTGTTAAAGAGCCAAAGGAGCCCCTTAAGAAAACCCAGCTCATCCTCACCAGTACACTAAATGCACCCAGAGTGGCACATGTGTAATTTATCCTCCAGAGTTTTCCAGACCAGCCCCCACCCCTCTTTACTTGCCTTGACTCATGGTTCCCCATCTTGAGGGAGATGTAGGAGGGCGAAGGCAGCCAAGGCAAAACTGCAAGTGAGGAAGTCAGGGATAGGGCCAGACCAAAGGAGCCTGGAGAGGGTCTTCCAATGAGGTCAACTTCCCAGTTAAAAAAAGTTCTCACTGACACAAAGGGAGACCCAATCAGACAGATACTTTCATACTTGTGCCCCTAAACCCGGAATCCAATAGAAAAACTAAGATAGACATGTGGACATAGGGGACACCAACAACCAGTAGTGAGGAGAGCATGGACAGGGGAGATGAGGAAGGGAGGAAATCCCAGGGGCCATAAAAAGAACAAGCCAAGGCAATCCCGCATTGTGAGCTCCTGTAAAATTAAAAGAAATTTAAAAGTATCCAATACATAAGGGTACAGAGTAAACACCTTCATTCATAATATTAGGGGCATAGGAAGAAGATGAGACCAAAGCAAGACTGAAATTCTGTTGGGAAAACAAGTCCCATAGCTCCATGTCCAGCATCTGGGGCACATGGCATTGTGATGTTCTCTCCAAAGATCTTGTGTAGCTCTGCCCCTGTGGCCATGTTGTTTGCAGCCTAAGTGGCCTTTCTGTTGGCTTGACTCTGCTCAATTCCTGCCACTGTCCTAGGATAATGTGCCACATTATTGGCATTTCTTAAGCTTGTGGGTCTCCATTGCACCTTCAGCTTCCTCCTCCCATCTCCTCCCATACTGCCCTCTCAGCAGGTGCCCCCAGGGACTCTTACCCTGCTGCACCTTCCCTGGCCTCCAAAACCTTCCTTTGAAATCTTGGTGGAAGCCTCCATGAGCCCCTCACTCCAGCATCCTGAATTCCTGCAGAACCAGAACCACGTGGTTGATGCCATGGTCTGCTGCCATCTTGAGTAGTAGCCAAGCCTCCAGGGACCCTGGCTTAAGCAGCCCCTGAATGCCTAGGTAGCTGAGCATGTTGAAAAACTTCCTAAACCTCTTTATAAAATAAGGGTGCCCCACTGGTCTCTTCTCAAGAGAATTTTTACTTTTACTTCCTTGAATCTGAGAGGTGTGTGGTCTTGCCAATTCCTAAAATGACCTCAACTCAAGCCATCTTCCTCATTGTTTATGGGCAGTATCCTTAGCATTTCTTTAGTGGTGGTAATTAAGTCTTTAACAACTACAACTTCCTTAGCCCCAGCTTTACTCCTGCCTTTCAAGTCCAAGTTTTTCAAATATTTCTGCTCTGCTTTCTGCTCCTGAATATCACAATAAACTTGGCTAAAAGCCACCAGCAATATCTATGCCACTGCCTAAATACTATGCTGTCTAGAAATTTCTTCCACCAGATAAACAAATTGATATCAACTTTTGATTCAGAAAGTCTCAGGACACTGGCAAAATCAGACAACTTCTCAGCCAGAAGACGACGTGGATGGCCTCCAGTCCGATTACCAATAGAGTCCTCTTCCTGTGAACCACTTGAACCCTGTTTTTACTGTGCACAGTTCTGTTGGCCTTCTGGTCTTCTAAGCTCCCACCAAGAACATCTACTAAGTTTCACTTAAAACTAAAGCTTTTCCAGCTTCATCATTAACTTTTCCCAAATCCTCCAACAAATTCCAAAAAGCTCCAAAAGCTTCTGAACCACATGGTCAGGTTAGTCACAGCAACAACCTCACTTCTTGATACAAATTTCTCATTAGTCAGGGTTCTCTAGAGGAATAGAACCAACAGGTTATATGTGGTGTGTGTGTGTGTGTGTGTGTGTGTGTACATATATACAAATATATATGATCATAAAAAAGGGATTTATTAGATTGGCTTACAAATCAGAAGCTGGAGAGTCCCACAATGGCTGTCTGTAGGCTGGGGAGCTGATGCTGGAGCCTCAGAACAAGAAGGATCAATGATGCCACCCCAATCTGGGTCCAAAGGCTTGGAAACTCTGTGGAGATTTACCTGTTCTCAGGTGATCACAGCATCGATCAAGAGTCTACTGAAGAAGAATCAAGCTTGCATCTGCTACTGCTTCCAATTTCTATTACGTTCAAAATTTTGACCTCTTGGACAGTGCTGCCAATTCTTAAAGTGGGTCTCCTCTTCCATTTGCTATCACATATGCCAATCATTCCTAGAAACACCCTCATTGACACAGCCAGAAGCCTCTTAATCTTAGGCCTCTATATCCAATCAAGTTGTCAATTCAGATTAGCAATTACAACATCCATTCCTGCCATAAAAACAGAAAGAATTAACAGGAAGACTACACCACACCTATGATCTAAATCACTCACATGGGCTGTGGATGTGGCTCAAGCGGTAGCGTGCTCACTTGGCATGCGTGCAGCCCGGGTTCGATCCTCAGCACCACATACAAACGAAGATGTTGTGTCCGCCGGAAAAAAACTAGAAAATAAATTTTTAAAAATAAATAGATAAATAAATCACTCACATACCCCTTTAAGTGAAGAAGAGCAATCACAGAGGATATATCCCACAGAACCTGCTGTATATAACACAATCACCAGATATACAAGAAGAACCCCATTTATTTGAGACCTACCGGAAAAGCAGAATCCTCAAGCTCTCTCTCTCCGCCCCCTCTCTCTCTCTCACACACACATACACACACACACACACACACAAAACAAAACAAAAAAAAAACACCATATCAAAACACACCACTAATCATCATCAAAGAACTATCAGGGAAAATATACCACAAAGCCCACTTGGAAGTATATGGAAAGATTTACAAGAACATAATATCCTTTTATTAATATATTTTTTTGTAGATGGACAGAGTATCTTTATTTTATTTACTTATTTATTTTTACGTGGTGCCAAGGATCAAACCCAGTGCCTCACCCATGCAAGGCAAGTGCTCTAACACTGGGCTACAACCCCAGCCCAAGAACCTAATATCTTAATGCAAGATAAGGCTTTGCCCTAAAAATACCCACATGTTGAAGTAGCACAGATGAGGCTAGACACCAAGGAACTAGCAGGAAGCAGGTTTGTTGACTGCAGGGTTCAGAGGAGGCTCTCACCTAAGAATTCTTCCTCTGAACACCAGATCCAGAAAGTTTTAGAATTTTATACCCAGTATGTAGGGGAAGGGCCTCAGAGGTTCACAATCTGCAGAAGTTCACCTAAAAGTAGGTTTATTCTATTGCACTGGGCAATCTGGATATAACCCAGGTCGAGATACAAAAATAAACCAAGGACATTATGTGCAAAAATCAATACCTGGGAAAGGAGGAGTTCCCCGCCCCCACCCCTACCCCAGCTGGTTTCCTAGGAACCTAATTTGCACAATTTCCTCTTATCTTTGGGTTGTAAAGGACTTTCCCTAGGATCTAACTACTTTTCTTGTAAACAACCCTGTGAAGGCTCCCCACCCAAAGCCTCATAAAAGGATCTTGTGTTCCCTTATCACATTCTGCTTTTGTAAACAAAATTCCCACCTGAGAACTTTCACAATCAATATATCATTTTAGACTAGAAAATTTACAACACTAGATAGCCCATAAATGTTGTGAAAAATTAGTAAAGGGGTGCTCAGCATCTAGAGTGCTAATTCCCTTCAGTCCCACAGCCAATTTTAGTAATTGTGTGACAGAGAAATAGAAAATAGGAAGCTTAAATACATTGAATTCTTTTGCAGAGATTCTTGCTGATAGTCTAAGAACAATTATGGTGAGGGTCTCTGGAGAAGCCTAATTAAGATTTTCTGTAGAGAAAGTGTGCCACTATAATGAAGAGTGGAAGAGAATTCCATTTCAACAAATGCATAAAATACAATATGGCAATACAAGAAAACAAAAAAACTAGGTGACCTTATGTCTCCTGAAGTCCATAATTCACCAGCAACTGATTCCAAAGATATAGACACTGATGAAATGCCAGATAAATAATTCAAAAGAATGATTACAAAAGTGATAAATTAATTCCAAGAGAACACAGAAAAATAATTAAATGAATTAAGGGAGTCAGTACAGGATATGAATGAGAATTTCAATACGGAGACAGAGATACTGAAAAAGAACCAGACAGAAAGTTTGGAAATGAGAGGCATAATAAATCAAATAAAATATTCAATTGAAAGCCTCTCTAATAAAGTAGACCATGCTCAAGAATTAATCTCAGAACTACAAGACAAAATGGTCAGCCTTGAACACTCAGACAGTATTAAAGAAAAGAAGTAACTATGACCATAATATATAAGATCACTAGGGCAACATAAAGAGACCAAATTTAAGAATCATTGGAATTGAAAGGGGTCTGTGAAATTCAACTAATGGGATGAATAACCTCTTCAAGGAAATAGTAACAGAAAATTTTCCAAACATTGAGAATGAGATAGACATTCAGGTACAGGAAGTATTCAGAACTCCATATAAATAAGATATTTAAAAAAAAAAAAAGAATCTCTTTATGACATATTATGACTAAAATATCTAACACAAAAAACAAAGATAGAATTTTTAAAGTCTCCAAAGAAAAATGTCAGGTCTCATTAGAGGCAACTCAATCAGAATACTTCTGATTTCTCAGCACAAACTCTAACTTCCATGACAGCTGGAAATGAAAGGTTTCAAGCTCTGAAAGAAAATAACTGTCAATCAAGAGTGCTATTTCTAGCAAAGCTAACTTTCAGAATTTAAGAAGATATAAAAAAAAATCCAAGGTAAGTAGAAGTGAAAAGAATTCATGACTACTATGTTGGCACTACAGAAAATACTTAAGGAAATACTAGAAATGGAAGAACTCAAAACCAAGCCTCAGGGCTCACAAATGGACAAATCTCATTGGAAAAGAGGCTAAGGAATGAGAAACAAATTAAATATTAGACCAAATTAAACATTAGAAATAAAACAAAATGTCAGGAATCAATAAATATCTTTCTTTAGTGGCATTGAATGTGAATGGCTTCAACTATCCAATTTAGAGACATAGACTGGCAGAATGAGTTAAAAAGCAAAGCCCAACTATATATTGTTTGCAAGAGACTCTACATACAGGCAAGGACAGCCACATGCTGAATATACAATAATACAAAGGATCAATGATCTGAAGAGTTGGTTCTTTGAAAAGATAAAAACGATTGATAAACAGTTAGCTAGACTAACCAAAAAAATTATTTGAAAATATTCTGAAAACTTATACTCCAACAAATTGGAAAATCTGGAAGAAGTGGATACATTCCTAGACATGTTGACCTGCCAAAATTGAAACAAGGAAACAGAAAACTTAAGTTAACCAATAACTAGCAATGAGACAGAAGCAGTAATAAAAAGCCTTCCAACAAAGAAAAGCCCAGGACCAGATGGATTTTTAGCTATCTTGTACATGACCTTTTGAATAAGAATTAATGTCAATGCTCCTCAAATTATTCCATGAAATATAAAAAGAAGGAACATTTATAAATTCATTCTATGAAACCAGTATTACGTTCACATCAAAATCAAATAAGGACACATCAAAGAATGAAAACTACAAACAAATATCCCTGTTGAATTTAGATTCAAAACTTCTTAAGCAAATATCAGTAACTTGGATTCAACAACATATTAGTAATATTATACTTCATGACAAAATTGGTTTTATTCCAGAGTGACAAGAATGGTTTAATACATGCAAATCAATAATTATAATTCACCACATAAATATAATTAAGGACAAAAATCACAATGATCTCAATAGATGCAGAGAAATACTTTGACAAAATTCAGCACCCATTCAAGATAAAATCACTGAATAAACTAGGAATAGAAGGAATTTACCTCAACATTATAAAGGCTATATGATAAGCCCAAAGCCAACATCATAGTGACTGAGAAAAACTGAAAGCATTTTCTTTAAAATTCAGAACAAAGATGACTGCTCTCACACTCCTATTCAATGAAGTACTAGAAATTCTAGCCAGAGCAACTAGGCAAGAGAAGGAAATAAAAAAAAGACAAAAATAGAAAAAGAAGAAGTCAAATGATCACTGTTTGCAGATGGTATGGATCTATAATTAGAAGAGCTTAAAAAGCTCACAAAAAGACTGCTGGACATAGCAAATTCAGTAAACATTTACAAAATCCATTGATTTACAAAATCAATGGAGAAAAATTGAAAGCATTCCCTCAAAAAAACTGGAACAAGACAGGGATGCCCTCTTTCACCACTTCTATTTAACATAGTTCTTGAAACACTGGCCAGAGCATGTAGACACACAAAAGAAATTAAAAGGATACGGATAAGAAAAGAAGAACTCAAATTAGCACTATTTGCTGATGATATGATTCTATATCTAGGAGACCCAAGAAATTCCACTAGAAAACTCCTAGAACTAATAAATGAATTTAGCAAAGTAGCAGGATATAAAATCAACACCCATAAATCAAAGGCATTTCTGTATATCAGTGACAAATCCTCTGAAAGGGAAATGAGGAAAACTACCCCATTTACAATAGAATAAAAAAAAATAAAATACTTGGGAATCAACCTAATGAAAGAGGTAAAAGACCTCTACAACAAAAACTACAGAACTCTAAAGAAAGAAATTAAAGAAGACCTTAGAAGATGGAAAGATCTCACTTGTTCTTGAACAGGCAGAATTAATATTTTCAAAATCACCATACTACCAAAACCACTATACAGATTTAATGCAATTCTGATCAAAATCCCAATGACAATCCTCATAAAAATAGAAAAAGCAATCATGAAATTCATCTGGAAACGTAAAGCAATCCTTAGCAAGAAGAGTGAAGCAGGTGGCATCAGTATGCCAGACCTTAAACTATACTACAGAGCAGTAGTAACAAAAACAGCATGGTATTGGCACCAAAATTGACTTGTAGACCAATGGTACAGAATAGAGGACAAAGAAACAAACCCACGGGAATACAGTTATGTTAGACAAAGGTGCCAAAAACGTACATTGAAGAAAAGATAGCCTCTTCAAAATGGTGGTGGGAAAACTGGAAATATATATGCAACAAAATAAAATTAAACCCCTATCTCTCACAATGCAAAAAATTCAACTCAAAGTGGATCAAGGACCTAGGAATTAAACCAGAAACACTGCACCTAATAGAAGAAAAACTAGGCCCAAATGTCCATCATGTTGGATTAGGTCCTAACTTCCTTAATAATAAGATTCTTGTAGCACAAAAATTAAAATCAAGAATCAATAAACAGGGGGCTGGGGTTGTAGCTCAGTGGTGGAGCACTCACCTCACACGTGCGAGACCCTGGGTTCGATCCTCAGCACCACATAAAAATAAATAAGCAAAATAAAGGTATTGTGTCCAACTACAACTAAAAAATAAAATAAAAGAATCAATAAACAGGATGGATTCAAACTAAAAAGCTTTTTCTCAGCAAAAGAAACAATCAGTGAGGTGAAGAGAGAGCTACGGGGCTGGGGATGTGGCTCAAGCGGTGGCGTGCTCGCCTGGCATGCGTGCAGCCCGGGTTCGATCCTCAGCACCACATACAAACAAAGATGTTGTATCCGCCAAAAACTGAAAAATAAATATTAAAAAATTCTCTCTCTCTCTAAAAAAAAGAGAGAGAGAGAGAGAGCGCCTACATTTTGGGAGCAAATTTTTACCACATGCACATCACGTAGAGCACTAATCTCTAGGATATGTGAAGAACTCAAAAATCTTAACACCAAAAACACAAATAACCCAATCAATAAATGGGCCAAGGAACTGAACAGATGCTTCTCGATCAACAAATATATGAAAAAATGCTCAACATCTTTAGCAATTAGAGAAATGCAAATCAAAACTAAGATTTCATCTCATTCCAGTCAGAATAGCAGCTATTAAGAATACAAACAACAATAAGTGTTGGCAAGGATGTGGGGGAAAGGCACACTCATACATTGCTGGTGGGACTTCAAATTGGTGCAGCCAATATGGAAAGCAGTATGGAGAGTCCTGGGAATGGATCCACCATTTGACCCAGCTATCCCACTCCTCTGTGTATACCCAAAGAAATTAAAAACAGCATACTACAGGGTCACAGCCACATCAATGTTTATAGCAGCTGAATTCACACTAGGTAAACTGTGGAACCAACCTAGATGCCCTTCAGTAGATGAATGGATAAAGAAAATATGGCATATATTCACAATGGAA